ATGGAAGCAAATAATTTAAAAAATGCAGTTGTGTGTTATCCCTGAGGACTATCTATGTGTATGAATGTAATGGAATTTATAAATTTAATTATTTAACCCACTTGCCGGCATCCGACTAATCCAAAATTTTCTATATATTAAAAATCGATTACAACATAATAGTTTAATGACTATGAGAGGAAAATTGACACACGGATTATCACAGCTCCGGAAGTGTGTTGTTTTTGTTTCCTAAAACACTGATTTCATTCGACCTCGGGGTTTCAATATTAGATAAGAAGAAGGCAACAGTCTTTTGTAGACTAGACATCAATACTATCTTCAAATATGAAAGTAACATGTTTCTACACCGTTTGAAATTAAGACATCAAATATTATCACAGCAACCCAATGAAACTGGTAAATATGATATTTGTTCGATAAATTTAACCACGGCTTGTGTTAATAGAACTTTCTGTACACGATCTTGATCTCAATGATCACGAATTTTTTTTTCTAAGATATGTATTTTAATAATATTACCTTATATTATTAAACTGAAGTCGGTTGTACAAAATTTTTACCAAATTAGTACTTAATACTTGTCCCTCCCGTCACCATGGGTGCTGCAAAGTGCTCGAAACGTCGGGTATATAAAAAAGTTAATATACGCGATAAAATCCGTAAAAACTAAATGTATTTAAAAGTATTTTAATCAAAGTAACTTTAAAAATTGGTCTATATACGTATTGTAGTAAAACAAAAAATTTTGTACAACCGACTTCAATATAAATAAAATGAGAACATCATAAGTATAGTCGAAGTCAATTAAATATGCATTATTAAGGATAACTTAACTACTGGTCAGATTTTGATCAAATTTATATGGAACCACATGAAAAGCACTAGCTTTCAAAACACATAAATAATACAGCTGAATTGAGAACCTCCTCCTTTTTTTGAAGTCGGTTGAGAATGAAACAAAACGATAACGATATATATAAATTATATATAATAGGTTTTAATATATAATAAGTTTTTAGTAAGATTTAAAATAATCCAATGCCATTTATTTTATCAAGATTTTGATATCTCAAAGAAACATCTTCAATATTTTTAGATTAAATAAAGCCTAGATCACTCGTGGCATTGCCATCTGCTGTATGTCAAGTTTCAACACAATCAATTCAGCCATTCCCAAGTTAGTCTGGACACACATACAGACAATTTTTAATATATTGTCTTTTAAGGGGAAATATAACCTCAAATGGCTTAGCAAGATCCTCCGTTATGCCGAAAGTATTGCAGCATTAATTTTCAAATAAATATATGGTAAAGTTGAGGATTAATGTTAAGGACTATGTTAGACGAAAACACGATTTCGTAAAATTTTCTCGATAGAAAAAAAAACAAAGTTACCTCCAAACTGAACAATAAACCGCTGTTATTCATAAATACTTTAAATAAGATCATGAAACTTTGCATACTAACTGAACTAACTATAAATCAGTGCTTATGTTATTTACTTTTTTTTAAATACCATTATTTTCACTGTAAAAAGAAATTACCTAAACTATCGGCGTATTGAAGCTTGATTCCTGCCGCCCCGTTAGTATCGCTCCGGCTTTTGAAGGGGGAGGTTGTGTCCCTTACGATCAGAATACACATTACGCAACAGGACGACGCATAATTAAAATGGAAATAACCGTTATAAAAAAAAGAAGCGGCTGGCTTGGCGTTAAGAAAAAGGCATAAATATGATAAGCCTAATGAAATAGGTAACAAAAACGACCTATCTACTTACTGTATTAGTGATTACAAACATGTGTAACGGATACTATATCCTCTTAATATAGTAATTGTTGGTTGTATATCATATTGTATTATATTGTAATGGTGGTACCCACCTGCAAAAAATAAATAAGTTTTCAAAGATATTTTTAATTCCAGAGTGAACTCGTGTAAATTCGTAACAAATTAAAATAATGAAAACGGTTTTAATTCCTTTTAATAATATTACAAAACTATTATTCGCTAACTTTAGAACTCCGATGTGGAAATCCAATTAAGCCTTTAATAAACGAGTGTTTGGCGTGAGAGGGTCGGGTTGACAATTAGTCTTGGGGGAATTTGTGAGGGATGAAAGGCTGCTGTTTTAGAGTTGATGTAACAATTAAAACGTTCTATTGGATCGTGTCTGATTTACGGCGATTTCACGTGTAAAACTTTCATTTCGTTATTAATTTTAATGAAAATAAATGAATATTTCCCGTTGTAATAATTAAATTCATAGAAAATAAAAGGGGTTTCAGGACAGTATCCGGGAAACCCTAACTTATAAAAACGATATCGTGTTAAAACTTCATTAACTTAATGAAAATAATTCAATTTAATTGCGTTTAAAAATAAAATAGGCTATACCAGAGTTTCCCAAACATTTTCAGTTCATGGCGCAACCACACGTAAAGTATTTTTTCACTGCGCTCTTGTCAAATGGCATGGGTGAAACAACACTAGGGCATAGAAATTAAAACAACTTCTTAACAGGAATTACGAGTAATATCAAATTGAAAAAGGAAAACTTTCAATGTGAAGTTAATCAATGAGCAATAAAAAACTTGATACTGTTACTCTCATTTATAGCTTTACAATGAATGATAGAAAATGAAAGATACCACTAGGTATCTGCTCTTTATGTTGTAATACAGCTGAAAATACATACATAAATACTAACACCTGTCACCCAGAGGGGTAGGCAGATACTACGGACTTCCATTTGGCACGATCCTGACATACCTCTTTCGCCTCCTTTACATCCATATATCTACGCATACATGCTCGTCGGTTAAGGGTACTTCTAATGTGGCCCATTTTCAAAATATCGCCAATTTGGTCGATAAACTTTTTTCTACTTCCCGACTCCGCCGTTCACATCTATTTCTACAGCATTTATTTTACTTTCGTGCTTCTTCTGCCACACCCAACTTTCACTACCATACATTAAAGTAGGGACTAACACAGCATTATGAATTACCATACGTGCCTTTTTTGACACATTCTGATTCTTCATAATACAGTGTAGTGCCCTTATCCTTATCATATCTCCCATCCCTGCTGAATACACATCCCAAATACACGAACTCATCCACTTGCTCAATTAACTCTCCATCTATTCTTATTTCACATACCGTTTTGCTTTCTTCTCTTTCAAAAATTTGACTTCGAATTAAACAGAATGTTTCAAAGACAAAGAGAATTTTTAAAGATTTTGAACTTAAAGTTGGACATTCATTTTTGCCTGTTATCCAAGACTACACCAAATCATAACAGCCATAATGTTTTGTAAGATTGTTGTCGCATGAAAGTGGCTTTCAGGGGCGGCGCCCTTGCTTACTCTCCACGGCGCTCTAGGGTGCTGCGGTTCGCACTTTGAGAGCCCCAAGGTTATACAATATAAATTGTATGATTAAAACCTTTTGGGAATAATTTAACTTTTAGTTGGAAATGTTAAAAAACACTAACGAGAAAATTAAAACAGTTAATATTGAATGTAGCTTTAGTTACCGTCTGCATGCCCACCATCAGAATGAACTTTTAATTCATAATTACCTCCCTGGGTAGATTTAGTAATTGTGGTAGTAGCTCATCTTCTGAACCTATACAAAACAACATTTTTCGGAAGGAACCAGTTACCGATAAGGTAAATCATCTCAAATTTAAAGAGGCATGAGAGTACGGAAGTTAGTTATAAATTATTACCGTCCCAACTACAGTTTTTCATTTTCAATAAAATATCCTATTATTATTTTGCGAAAAATTCGACAATGTGCTTAAATGCAATGTCACTGATTAAGATTTTATAAGACAGTAGTACTCGTTTTTGACCTATAAGTCCGTCTGGATAAGTAAATACCCTTAGAGTATAAGCAAACTTATTTATACTGTAAGATAATAACAACCCTTTTAATATCTCTGTGTTGTCTGACGAGATTACTTTTGCGAGATAAATGCGACTTCAGTAGGCAAATAAGTAGAATTTCCAGATTTCTATCTTCTGAGTAAAGGTGCGAAACGAACATTTTTTTAAAGGATAGGTTGACAAACGAACACACAGTCCACACGATAGTAAGTGGTTGCTGTGGCCCATAGACATCTACATCTATCCTTGATTACGAATCAAAATGCAGATGCGTTGTTACCCGTGAGAACTAAGATGGAATGCCTCGTTTCCAGTAAAAAGGGTCTCCGGTTCTCTACACTCACCAATACGTAACACAGCAGCAGTAAGCTGCCATTTTACGCTGGTATTCTTTGAGAGCGTCCTTCTCCGGTCGAGCCGACTTATTCGTGCTACAACTATACTAACTAATATAACAACTGCAGCATGGCTCTACCACGTATAAAAATTAAATGACATTGTGTGATATGAAACTTCACCTCCGTGTCAATTTAATATAAATAATTAATTAGCCATCATTATATGGTTCACACACATTCTTAAACTTATTATTTGTGGTAAAATATAAATACATTCATATTACTTGCATGCTTTCTCAATTTTAAGAATAGGAAAAAATCTTTCATTAGACATTTACTTTTAAATTTTTAACAAGTTCTCAGGGTCAGTCAAGAGCATACAGTCCACTCTATGATAAGTAGATTCTGTGGCCTACCCAGATTCTGCGTTGCGTGTAGAGAACAAGAGACACTTTTCACTGGATACGAGGCATTTCATCTTAGTCCTCAAGGGTGACAGCGTATCTCCGTTTTAATTCTTAGACGTGGATGATTGATGATGAATTTATCTATGGGCCACTGCATCTAGTTACCATCACCATCAGGTGCACTGTGTCGCTGCAAGCAGCAGATATTATTATTAAGATTCTGTAGGCTATTATAGCGTAGGTACTTTCGCTTTTGTATGGGAAAGATGTATCTGTTGGTAAACTATTTAATAATCTGTGACTGTGTGCCAGTTTGTCACACTTATTACAAAAAAAAATTAGCAACCGATTACTTACTGTCGTTGGCGTTTCCGGATGCAGGCTCAAGGGTCCAAATTTGTTTCTTCTTGAGGCTGGTACCGTTCGCGTTGATTTTGAAGCCGAATGTCTCCGCGGTGAGGTAGCGGTAACGCGAGTTGATGAGCCCGATGGTCCACCAGCCTCGCTGCTGGTTCTGTGTGATGATGTCCCCGGCGCCATTCATCTCGCCGTTGCTGTGTCCGTTCAAACCGTTCATTTTAACCTGGAAAGAAAGGAAAACGGTATAATTCATAACTTTGTTACGGTATTAATATTAATGAAGGTAACACGAGTTTAGAACCATGCTGTAGCTACATTAGTAGTATAATTGTAGCACGAATGGGTCAGCTCGACCGGGGAAGGACCACGTTCTCACTGACTCACCGATACCAGCGTAAAATAGCGGCTTAACGGTGTGTGGCAGTGAGCTCGTATGTCATCTTTATTCTATAAAAAAATATATTGTGATGTAGAGCAGTCCACACGACATAATATATATTAATATAAACTGTAGTTATTAAGAGGCGTATAGCTAAAGACCTAGACAAAGTTACACGTCTCTTTCACTTAACACCTTCCAACGTTAGAAATTGTAACGTTGGAAGGTGTTAAGTGAAAGAAGAAGTTGTAACTTACAATATGTATGTAATGTTTTTTATTTATTATTAAAAAATGGCTTTGTCGCTGATGCGATTATGATGCCCTGGTAGTTACAACAAAATTCTTAAATAGGATATATACTTACAAACATAAATAAATTTATTAATTACTTAATTTTTTATTTACTAACACATAAAATGTTCTGGCATCATCTGATAACGGGTCTGATTAAATACTATTATTACTGCAAATCAATAACAAAAATGTAGATTACAATTTTTTCTTTCTCTGGAGTTATGTACGTATTGTTAGTATTGACATCCGATCCGTTTGTACAAATGTACTTTATGAATCAGCGTAAATGTTTTATATATCCACTCATCTCTCTTCATCTCACTAAGTACATGAAATCCGATTCCTCCATCTCGTTAGTCGCGGCTGGCCCGACCGCGCAGAGACAAGTAGGCGCGACGGCGGTCATCACACGCTTCATTAGCAGCATTGTGTATCCTAGCGCAACCGCACAACGTACCAACATGTACCACATCCCATCTGTTGTGTTCTTAACAAAATAATGAGGGTATCCACGACTTTTTCCGCCACCAGAGCAGCGTCACTTGATAATCGAGGTGTAGGTGTTATTTGACAGATTTCTTAGCCGTGAAGTTAATTTGCATGAAAAAGTAAGGGTTAATGTTTCTTTCTGTACTATTAGTTATAATTTGTATAAATTAGTTCCTACCAAGGATGATACGTAAGGCTATTGAAATTTAAAAAAAAACATCCTAATTACAATAGGGCTAGGTGCTACCACCTGTTTGGGATCCTATAATCAATAAAATTAAAATTAAACCCAAGCATACCACTGCAAGACTTCAAAACACTGTCAGTTCATTTTCCATAGATCGGACCATAAACAATATTAAAAAAAGCTGAATGTACTCCGGGTTTAACAATGACATCGGGACGTCAGTCATCTCAGTCCCCCGTGACCATGGAAGCTGGAAAGCGCCCGAAACGTCGGGAATTAAAAATCAATTAAAATTAAACGCGATAAAATCCGTAAAAGTAGTTTTAATCAATGTGTCGTGTTCGTGTAAATATAAGAAATCATTATTGTATAAATTGGATTAAAAATAAATAATCCAGACCACAGATATTCATAAAAGTAGATAAATTAAAAAAAAAAGAGTTATAAATGTGCAAAAAATTCAAAAGCAAACCACTGCGGTATTGTGTGTATGTGTATAAAATAATACTCTAGAAACTTTTATTTAGTCTCTTTTATATAGGATAGGGTGATAAACGAGCACACAGTCCACCTGATGGTAAGTGGTTGCTGTCACCCATAGACATCTACATCCATCCTCGATTACGAATCAAAATGCAGATGCGTTGTCACCCGTGAGGACTAAGATGGAATGCCTCGTTTCCAGTAAAAAGGGTTCCCGGTTCTCTACACACTCACCATACAAAACACAGAAGCATTAAGTTACTATTTTACGCTGGTATTCTGTGAGAGCGTGATTCTTCCCCGGTCGAGCCGACCCATTCGTGCCACAAGTATACTACCAATATAACTGCAGCATGGCTCTTCCACGTATAAAAATTAAATGACATTCTGTGACAAAAAACTTCACCTCCATGTCAATTTAATATAAATAATTAATTAGCCATCATTATATAATTCACACACATTCTTAAACTTGTTATTTGTGGTAAATACATTCATATTACTTTGCATGTTTTCTCAAATTTATAAAAAGGAAAAAGATTTATTTCATTAGACCTTTACTCGTAAATGTTAACTAGTTATCAGGGTGGAAGACGCAGGCAGCTGTGACACAGATAATACCAGTATGGCAACCGTCGTTAACCTCTCAGTGGAGCTATATAATTGATTATCAAATTACAACATTTGTATATGTTAAGTTTCTATCTAAGATTTCTAACGTTATAAAGGAGTGAATAAAAAGATATTATCAATATCGTAATGATTTGTTATATTTACGCAAATACGACAGTTTAATTTTAACTTTTCAATTCCCAAAGTTTTGGGTGCTATAAAGCACCAGTGGTCAAGGCAGGGGAGGGGGACGTCGGGTATAAAAAAGTTAAAAATTAACGCTAGAAAATCCTTAAATTAGTTTAATTTCAAATAGTTATTATAATTCAAAATGACAGCCATTTTTACAACGTTTCTATCCATGAACTATCAATATAAAGTTTCAAATCTCTAACTTATCGGGAACTTGTTTAAAATCATTTGCTAGTAAGTACCAAAAAGACAAACAAACAAAGACGGACAAGAAAGTGAGTTTATATTGTTTTCTCATCCAGCTCTAACGTTTAATGAGCTACGCATCTGTAAAGCGTGTGCCGGCTCAAAAGTAGTCCAGTCAAAATAGACAAAAATAAGTCATAACTTAGCCAAAATTCGCATAGAGCTGAAAATTGGCAGAGACGTTAAATACATCAGTATAAATAAAATGTCAAAAATCCCCGTCGATCCTACTTCTGCAAAAAATTTTATTCAAGGTCAAACGAACAAAATTTAGGTTTTTTCCATTTTTTCTCGAAAACGGTAAGTTTTATCGTAAAAATAAGTCAGACAAAAGTTGTAGATCATACAATTTTCTACAAAAATAGTCCAAGCACTTTTTCTCTTACGACTCACCGTTCGTAAGATATCGCGGTTTTAATAATGAGAAAATTCATATTTTACATAATATGCACTAAAATGCAGCCTGTACACGTCATCGGACGTTCAATATAAATGAAAATAAGAATTGATGATGATGATTTAATTGATTGCGCAGAAGTATTTACAAAGATAGACTCTTCTCCACACGACATCGTTACAAATGGAATTCGTTTTCTTCTTGCAATGTATGGTGCTCCAAAAAAATTTATTCCATAGACAAATATAGATATTTGAGGTTTGTAAAATCTGCATGAAACAATAAAACAGTACAGTTGTCTTGTCTGCCTCCAACATCTGCTTCTGCCTTTCAACACTTGTATCGTGTGTATTATCAAGTTCAAGTATGGCTAGGCAGTGAGCTGGACCCAGAAGGATGGGGTTGGAAATTAACAGATAATTTGGAGCCAATTCAAACTCTCCTTCCGCCTACTCCAGAAAAACTGCTTAATGCTATTTTTTGTAAATGCAAGACGGATTGTAGTAAGAATTGTGGCTGTCAAAAAGTGGGATTGTTTTATTCGCCAGTATGCATCAATTGTCAGGATCAGACTTGCTCCAATATTGAAACAAATACAACAAATGAAAATATTTATGATATTAATGAATAGACAATTGATGCATTTCTTTTCTTAGAACAGCCAATAGAAATTCTGCAAGAAGAAGAAAATGAAGACGAAGAAATAATTGTTGAAGTAAATTAGTAGTAGAAAATTATCTAATATAATAATATTCAGAAGAAAACAACCTATTCCACTTTAATCATTAGCAATATTATCATTGTTTCAATCAATAAGATACGATCCGATCAAACTTTCTTTATTACAATAGATCGTGGAGTATACCTACTGGGGAAATCACGTTAAAAAAATGCGCCAAGTACATTACCTCGTAGGTGGTGCGGAAATGTGTGCATATTATGTAAAATATGAATTTTCTCACTATTAAAACCGCGATATCTTATGAATGGCGAGTCGTAAGAGAAAAAGTGACTGGACCATTTTTGTAGAAAATTGTATGATCTACAACTTTTGTCTGACTTATTTTTACGATAAAACTTACCGTTTTCGAGAAAAATGGAAAAAACCTAAATTTTGCACGTTTGACCTTGAATAATTTTTTATGCAGAAGTTGGATCGACGGGGATTTTTGACATTTTATTTATACTGATGTATTTAACGTCTCTGCCGATTTTCACCTCTATGCGAATTTTGGCTAAGTCAAATGTCTATTTTGACTGGACTAAAGTTCCCTCTTAGAAAAGCTCTGTTGTACGGCACAGTTCATTAATACTTTCAGTTTAAATGAACCTATGTAAATCACGACGGTTTTCAGCTATTTAAAGGCGCATATACTGTAGCAATATATACACTATACTGTAGCAAACAACAAGAACTACTTTGTGAACGTCGCTCATAACCAAGCCGCAGCGACCATTGTATCCGACGGCACAATGTGTATCACGCACGACTAGATGACATCCTTTATTCGGGTGGGTAATATCGGGACAACGCGCGATTGTTATACTTTGGCAACACATGTATAGTTAAAAATATATGCATTTTTGCATTTTCGACATTACTACATACAATACAGTTTTATTTTGAGATACGCTTTTGTTCCCGCAACTGTTTTAAAACAAAACTCGCTGGTTCGAATCCTCCATTCAAATTTCAGCTCGGTTTAACTACTATGGTGGTAACTACTCTTTCATTTGTTGTATTAGCCAGTAAAAATCCACTCCTAGGGCCTCTCTAGTTGTGTGATGATAAACTTTAATCATTCGCTTCCAAATCTACCTGGGATTAATGATTGCTTTACTAGGCGTATTTAGGGTTGCCACCTTTTAATACTCAAGGGTTGCCACCCATAGTATAATTCATAGTATCGTACAATATATCAGTCAATTATACTATATATTA